ATACTCTATAACCTCCCCCCCATTTCTATTGCGTATCTAATTTTTTTTTTTATAATTTTATTTTTTTGTTTTTTTTCCTCTGCATTGCTTTTTCCCTTTGAGTTGAAACAGTAATGTCTTTAACATTTTTAGAGTAAAAAGAAAAACTTATGTATACAGGATAATAGATTTTTTAGTTCTCTCCTTTATATATTTTTGTTGAACCATAAATAACACTTTTGAATTTAGAGAATGTTCAAAGCTTAACAGGTTCTTCCAGAATTCAAGGCCCTAAAATCAATCTTCACTTTGTTTTTACTTTCTACTTGTTTCACTTTAAGAAATTATTTACGAAATCATTTTTGCTGCGTTTGAATTATTTATTCCAGTGTTGAAATCTAAAGATACTAACTCTGGCCCTCCATGGTTTTCACAAAAGTTAAGGGGACTTCGCAACTTTTTCGCCGAATCTCACTCATTTTAGCACTTTTCCAAAATTTTTTTAAAAAAAGTGCTTATTAGTTTCACCCTGTCCGTTAATCCGTCCGTCCGTCGACACTTTTTTTGTTTACAAAACTTCTACACCCTTGAAGATAGAAAGTTGAAATTAATGTACATAGATCTTTACTAGAAACTTACTTCCGTAGAACAAAATTTTTACCTTTCTCCCCCCCTCTAGAAGTACCTACCCCCCCAAAACCCTAAAAATGGCCTTTTTTAACTATTTGTTGCAATGAAGCCATAAGCATTTTTGAAATTTTGAAAACGCAGAAAGGCAGCGGCTTGCTTTCCCTAGCGCGGTATATTATAGTTAAACTTTAGAAAAACAAAATGGTCGTTCAAATTTACCGTTATCTAAAGTCCTTTTTTTCCAAATTTTTGATGCCGTTTTTCTTCTACACCCTAACCTGTAGAAATTTGAAATTTTAGGGGCTTTTAGGCATTAACAAATAGTTCATTTCGTTAGACGAAAATTTTTTTTCCATCTCCACCCCCTCTCAAGTTATCATATTTCCGAAACCGCAAGCTTTTTCAAATTTCTATAAATGCAAACAGTTAACGGTAAATTCCATGACATTAAAAAATATAATTATTTTTCTTAACTCACACAATTAAACCTTAAAATCGAGCATTATGTTAACCCCACTTTATATTCATTTTTGCTTTATTTCAAAGACTGCATGTATCGTTTATCCTAGATATATGCAATCCTATAAATAGTTTTGTAAATGAATGAAAACAATTTTAATAGTGTGATAGGTATACAGAGACTGTATTTAAATGATATTTCTCTGGTAGGATTTACAGAGTACTCTTTCGTTCAGCAATTTCTTCGCCTCTTTGGTCTAATTCTGGTGTCTCCTAGGGTTGCCACTTAAGTCCATTGCTGTTCATAGTTTCAATTAATGATGTCATTTCAATGTTGACGCAGAGTGAGATGTTAAAGGTATTAATTATGCTTATGACATGAAAATTTAAAAAAAAATAGGCTCTGCAAATGATGCAATGTATCTTCGGGATGATCTTAACTGCTTTTATGGGTGGTGTTCAAGTAATAACCTAAAATTGTTGCCAACTTAAACTTCAGACCGCGTTCCCTTGATCCATAGTTCCTTTTCATAGATCCAATTATGGGAAATATAAACCTGTCAGCAGAATGCTGCGTTTATGCAACAAACACACGCAGACTGGACTTTTCACTGACGAAAGACACGATGAAAAAGCTTCTATTTACTTACAGTTAAGTATAACCTTTTTTTTATTTTAACAAATTCTTGTTTTAGTTTCTCATTGCTTATACTACATATTTAATTTGCTAAACGTAAATAAATAAATAAATTCGTTTGTGACGTGTTTGATAAACGTGTAACTAAATATGATTTAGAAATCCAGGAAATCTATAATATATAGCGAGTACTGCTGAGTAATATAACATCCTGTAATATGTAAAAGAATATAGCATAGTATATATAGCCTTATCGCATTTTGTAGCCACATACACATATGCATATAAATATGTATCATAAAGCTTGTCTGTTTCTATAAATCACAATTCTCATATACATTAACGTAATATATTTTAAGAGATTTTTTACAACCCTAAGTTATTAGAAAAAAATTTAAATCACAAGTTTCGTAATTTTTTTGAGCATAAACAAATAGTAAATAATGGTTTATAATCAAAGGCTTGAAATCGGATGTCTCGTGCATTAACAATGTTAATAAAACGATTAAGTTTCATTATAAACGGAACTTGGAGTTTTAATAACAACGATAGTTTTTCATGTAGAGAAAATACCCATAAAGAACTTTACGCACACATCTAATCTACAACTGGGCACACGACTTACAAGTTTATGAATCTGACTTTTATTATTTTTCCAAATATTTAAAATTAGCCTTTCGAATTGTATGGCAGCTACACGAACCGGTAAAGTTATTCCATTAAAATTTTTAGAGCATGCGTGGAATTTCCTATTTATACATAAATCAGTTTATAAAATATTTAAAATAAACTCTTTGGCAGCTACCCCAACTCATTGTCCGAATTGGTCCAATTACAAAAGAAACAGCTTGTAAAAGTTCGGTAGTATTTTCCTTATTTGTTTTTTAATTTACCGTGCTATTAAACGGACGGACATATTTAAATCAACGTAGAATTTTACGCTGATCAAGAACATATGTACATCTCTATACCGCAGACGACTCCTTCAAGTGGTTGCAAACTCCACACGAAAACTAATATTACCTTCTCGAAGGTGCAGAGTATAAAAAATAGAACACCATGTCGTTTCAAAAGTAATAGTAAATTTTTTGAGCTTTTTAATCCGTATTGCACTAAAATTGAAAGTTAAAAAGGGTAAGGTATATTGCTGTTGTTGAAATAATGGCATAATGTAATGTAGAAAATATATAGTTAGCTTACGTAATGCAAATACTAATTTAAATTTATTTAGATGTAAATAAGAAACTTATCTACAGTAAGGGATGGAAAGAAAAACAACCAACCGTTTGGGTGACGAATAACTTCCCCAAGCTCTGTTTTGTCACAGTCGAAGGTCAATAAATTCATTCATATATGATACCGGTAGAAAGTCGTTAAGTTTTCTTCAAATTTTTCTTGGAAACTTTTTTGAAAAACTGCTCTACGAGTGCCAAAAAACTTTCTAGAAGTACCTCAAGCAGAGTATTAAAGAACGCTACAATTTGGCTTCAAAGACATTTTTCGAAATAAGTTTTTATGTTTTCAGTTCTGAAAGTGATTCTGAAGCTCTTAGTTAAACTTGTTTTCTCATTACCTTCGGGGTTTTATGAAAAGATTCATTTAAACGTAACGAAGGAGTAAGTAGAATGCAATAAATAAGATTTCGCCTTCAATGTTGTTAACAGTATATTGATAACACAAAAATTATTGTATTAGCACCTTAAATTTTGATATTTACATTAGACAGTTTTTAACAACCACATTGCATGTAATAAGGGAAGTTATGTGATGTTACTGAGCTTAATTTGTCGATTTTTTGGGGTGGGAACAAATTTCCCTTTGGTAGCGAAGCATAATTGTAAACTATGTTTAGAGGGATATGTGTCTGTGTGCAAGTTCAGCTAGATCGATTTTCACAAAAACTTATGTCTGAGTTAACTACGAGTATGAGACGGTTTGATTAACTTTTGGCATATATCAGGTCATCGGAACCTGATTTTTACTACGCTTCGATTTTATTTTTTTGTTTATTTTCAAGAAGTCGAAACTAACAGACCGACAATACATCAGATTCCTTTTTTTGCTAGGGAGGTGTCGGCAAGTCGAATGTTACTACATACAAAATTTACATTTTTTCTCATATCATATATCTTTTCTCATATCAGCTACGTTCTGTTTATATCAGATGTTTTTATACAATATGTCATTGTTTTTTTTTGGTTTGAATTTTTTTGTAATATTAAAAGTTAAATAACAGTGATCCAAATCGTGTTATCTGTCTACTCTCCTTTCTGCAACAGTACATATTCGCTACCCTAATATTTTCTGTCTTCATTTACCATTTCCTTGGCTTGGCTTCGGAAGCTCACGAAAAATTCATTTTATTATTCTTTGTGTTTTGAATTTTAATCAAATTTGTATTTTAAAATAAAATAAAAAAAAAAAGTAAAAAAATAAATAAAGGAATGAAAAATATAATGGAATAAAGGCATTTTAGGTAGCCGCGAAAGTAAACGAAGCACTTAAACTAAACATTTTTTTTTTCACAAATTTCAAAACGCAATATTTTTAGAATGAAATTAGATTATCGTGATTGAAACCAATACCTTTTGAAAGCAGTATTTATAAAAAAAACAAAACCGAAAAAAATATGAAAATGGATGTAACGAAGTATTGGATGTAACGCGGTGAAAGAAATTTTAAGTTGGGGGACTTTGACATTTTACTTTAAAAGGGAAGAGAAAAGTTTTTTATTAAATAGTTGCTTTTGTTCTTTCAGCTTTCTTCCATTCAAAATACAATGCTTAGATACAATTGGAATTGCAAAAAGCTATTTTGATTTTAGTAGTGCAGCAAATTTTATAAAGTAAACTGTATTACAATATCATGAGAACGAACGATTCACAGGTGTTAATGGAGATTTGCCCATTTTTATTTTACAAGTTTATTCAAGTTTAAGGAAATACTCGTATTTAATCTTTCTTAGAAAAACATAGTTATTCTGGCTCTGATGCTAAATTTTAAATGTGAAAAGTTAAATTAAATATTTCAAATTTTAATCATCACTATTTTCGACTATTTTTGTTATTTAAAAAAGAAAAGATTTTTAAATACAATAAATTTCAATTTGCTCATTTTAATTTTGATTTTCACCAGTTCAACATTTATTCTAATAAATTAATTTTAAATATTTTTACTCTCTTTCATTATTTTATGTTTTTTTATTATATTATAAAAAAAAAATTAAAATTAGTTTTAAGCTTAAACTTAAAATTCTTTTTGTTTTTCCCATTTTTTAATTTATGTGCAATAATAGGTCATGGTGGTGTAAATCAATTAGGTGGGGTATTCGTAAATGGTCGTCCATTGCCAGATGTTGTTCGACAAAGAATTGTTGAATTAGCTCATAATGGTGTTAGACCCTGTGATATATCTAGGCAACTTCGTGTCAGTCATGGTTGTGTTTCAAAGATTTTGTCAAGGTAAGTAACTTTATTTTTTATTTTAATTTTTTTCATGCCTTAGATTTGTATAATAATTTTAATAATTAATCAATATGTTGTGTAATAATTCATTATTACATTTATTTAAATAAACAATTCATATTACTTAGCTTCGTATTTAAAAACATAAAAATTATTATTACGTTGGTTAAAAAGCAGAAAGCATTAAGTCAGGAAACTGTGTTTTGAGTAAAGTCAATTTGAAAAAATCGTAAAATTGTGAAACTAATCAATTAGTGCAATGGGACTGGTCTCTTTAATTTCTGGATTTCTAAACTACATTCTGGATTTGCCTGATTTTTTGCCACAACAAAGATTATATTATTCTGACTTAATTCATCTATGAAATCCGAATTCTCAAAAAATGCACTTAGTGCTTTCTGCTTTTTAACCGACGATTAACGAATTTAAAGTAATATAGTAAAAATTAAAATTGAAATTTTAACAACAAAATATTTATATTTTTAAGTTTCTAAGTTCCGCTGAAAGGTTAGCGTAACAAAAAATTTACGTTGAGTTCCATTGTGTAACTATATAAAAAATCTAAAATATAATTTAAAGCTCATGTTGATTAGTTCACATAAAAAAAGAAATGATGATTTTTATATTGTCTAAGTTGGAAAAACTATATTTCTAGTATTTCTTTAAAAAAAATTAAATTTATTAGTTATGGAACCTCAGAAAACAAATTTTAGTGCTACAAACATGTCCATCTATGTAATATTATCTTACCGTGTTAATCTATTTCAGTTTTTTTTTACTTTTCTGATATTTATATGTCATTTTTATTTATTTGTCAAAGATTAATTTTTCTTTTTCTTTAAATTAATTTTTTTACATACTTTATAAGAAATAGAAGACATGTTTCCCTTGGGCAAAAAAAAATGAAAAATAAAATAATTTTACTGGAATGAGGTTTTTTTTATTTCTACATTTATCCTATTTTATAAAAATAATTACTAAATTGATTGCAACTGAATTTTTTTAATAAAAAAGAAGCTCTTAAAACACTTCCCCTATAAATGAATTATATAGTTACCAAAAAACCAATCAGAGAAATAAAATGAATGAGATAAAGAAAAATAAACAAGTAAAAACGTTTCAGTCGGTATAAACCGATTGAATTATACCCTGCACCTTTCGTTGTTGTATAGCAATTACTCAAACCTGTGAAATCATTCTATAGAAACTTCACGGACATGTCTGACCTATACATCCGACTGATAAGTTTCATGAATCTGACTTTATTTTTCCAAATATTTAAAATATGCTTTTAGAGTTGTATGGCAAGTACCCGAACCTGTCAAGCAATTCCATCAAAACTTCAGAAATATGTCTGACCTATAATTGGACACACGACTGCCAAAGCTCATGAATCTGACTTTATTATTTTTCCAAATATTTAAAATAAGCTTTTGGAGTTGTATGTCAAGTACCCGAACCTGTCAAGCAATTCCATCAAAACTTCAGAAATATGTCTGACCTATAATTGGACACACGGCTGCCAAAGCTCATGAATCTGACTTTATTATTTTTCCAAATATTTAAAATAAGCTTTTAGACTTGTATGGGAGCTACTCGAACCTGTCAAGCAATGCCACTAAAACCTCAGAAATATATCTGGCCTATAACTCGACACACAACTGTCAAGTTTCATGTATCTGACTATATTATTTTTCCAAATATTTAAAATTAGCTTCTGGAGTTGTATGGCAGGTACCCGAACCTGTCAAGCAATTCCTCTAAAACTTCAGAAATATATTTGACCTATAATTGGACACATGACTGCCAAGTTTCATGAATCTGACTTTATTATTTTTCCGAATATAAAAAATTTGCTGTTGGAGTTGTGTGGCAGCTACCCGAACCGGTGCAGCTACCCCATTATAATTTTTAGAGCATGTGTAGAATATAATTGGACACATGTATACAGAATTTTATATTTATAGCTTTATTAGTTTTTGAAATATTTAAAATAAACTCTTTGAGTTGTATGGCAGCTACCCGAACCCGTTGTCCGAATTAGTCCAATAACAATAGGGCTCGTCCTTGGCACAAAAGAAAAAACTTGTGAAAGTTTGGTGTCGATTGCATTATTCGTTTTTGAGTTATCGTGCGATCGGACGGACGGACAGACGGACATGTCTAAATCGACGCAGAATTTTACGCTGAGCAAGAATATATATATATGTCCATACCGCAGATGACTCCTTCAAGTAGTTACAAACTCCATACCAAAGTTAATATACCCTTCACGAAGTGCAGGGTATAAAAATATCTGATGTGATCAGCATATAACCGACCGCAATGTAATTCCTAGTTTAGTGATAGTGTTGCAGATGATTATGAAAATGCCTTTTAAACACTTTTTTCCAAGTTTAAGCTTGTTAGCAACCTTTTAGTTAACGTACCTAGAATAGTGTACACTTGGCTCTGGGTAGAGCTTCCTTTGTACCACCCGAAATCCCTGAAAAGTTTGATATATAGTTTTGGTAAATCCAGAACTCAAATATCAAATTTCAAGAAATTCCATCTATCCGTTCCATAAATATGATAAAAAATCTGAAGTCAGCCCGGATTTGGTTTCCGAACATTGATTTTTTCAAAAAATTCATAGATTCATTGTTTTAACACTCCAAATTTATATATTAAATTTTTAAAGAAATTGGTTCATTACTTTCTTTATATGGATAAAAATCTAAAATTCGCCCGCAAAAAAGTTCAGTTTTAAAGGTCAGTTCAAAAACACTATGTTGACACAAAGTATTTCGTTGCACAAAAACCACGAGATGCGGGTTTAAAATTATAATTTAAAAAAAAAATTCTTACAAATGAGTTCAGTTTAACTTAGATTTTGTTTTTAATTTGTTACTACTATTTGTACTTTTTGTTTTTAATTTTTTATTATTGTAGTGTATATAAAGCATAAAATAATGTTAAATTTTAAGCTCATTTAGTGCTCACAAAAGAGAAAATCAAAGTAAAATAACAATTTTTTGTGCATCAATACTTTTTTCCCAGAAAGTTGTTCATTAAAATTTATCCACAGCGATTAGTTTAGTGACAGTGTTGCAGAATATTATAAAAATTCCTGTGAAATACCTCTTGTCTATTTTTAGGGCATTAGTAAGCTTATAATTAACATACCTAGAAAAATGTAAATTTGGCTCTTGGTATAGTTTCGCTTTGTGCTAACCGAATTCACTGAATTGCTTGTCAGTTAATTTCGGTAACGACCAGAACTCAAACATCAAATTGCAAGAAATTCTATCAATTCGTTCCGTAGATATGGTAAAAAATATAAAATCGGCCCCCAAATCAGTTTCCGAGCCCTCATTTTTCCGAAGATTGTCTTGTTTAGCAAAAAGTGTTGCACAAGATGATGAAAATTTTAGTAGTAAGTAGCTGACCTCAGTTTCTTTAAAAATTTTTATGATTTCTTGTACTGTCAAGCGGAGCTAATATATAAAGTTTCAAGTTAATCGGTTGAACTCTTCTTGGAAAAAAATAAAAAATGTAAAATCGGCCAGTAGAAAAGATCCAGTCTACGAGACCTGGTATATCTCAAAAGTTGATTAAACTGTTTCACCATCAAAGTAAAAATTTCAATATGTATATAAAAATTATATATCAATAAAAATATATAAAATTTCATCAAGATCGGTTCAGCCGAACTTGAGGTATTGATTTGCCCAGAATCACAGATATCTGTCTACAAAAAGTTTAATTACGCTTCTTTAGCATTCCCGTTGATAACTCCCTATATTGAATTTGATGTCATCACATAACGTCCTTTATAGTATTCAATGTTGTCGGCAAATATCTGCAAAATGCATGCATATTATTTGTTATACATTTTTATATGTATGCATATTATATGTATACATTTATTTGTTAGAATTTTTGAAAGAAAGAATTGAAAACTTACTAATCTTTTTGTCGACTTAAAATTTATTCAAATGATAAATTTGTTTATCATAGGTTTTCGGAATGCCTTTATTGTAAATGATATTGTGTTTCCGCTGTTATTTTTGAAAGTTGTAAACAGCACATTAGCGCAAACTAAAATCCCAATTAACCGGCGAATCCCATAATCACCTCAAATATGCTATTTTGATAGTCGCGTCTGTAGAGGCGGTAAAAAATGTTTCTACGTTAGTACATATAAATAATATAATAGATGTCACAAAAAAATTTGTTTTATTTGAAAAATATTTTGGTTATGTACATAAAAACAAAAACAAAGAAAGTTGTAGGTTTTGAATCGCTTGCAACTTCACACAGCACTTTAAAGAAATGTATAAATACATATATTTAAATATCAAAATAAAACGTAAATTCTTCAGACTTCTAAAGTATTTCGAAAAAAGTTTTAAAATTTTACTTAAGAAACTTGAAAACAAACAAGCTAGTACTTGTATGAGTATCCCAAAGAGTATAATGTCCGGGATTGTTTACCATTAATTTTTATTTAAGCTCAATTGTTTGTATTTTTACCGACCGTATTCTGTATACAATAGGTAGGTCATTTGAAGGCAACAAATTTTGCTTATCGAGTTTTCGGTGGGAATGCACTTCTCCATAGTAGGGAAGTGTAAATAAACAATTTTTAGCAACCTGTCGGTCTGTCGGTCTGTAGGTCTGTGTGTGCCCGCGTGTATCTCAAGTTCGGCTGGACCGATTTTAATGAAATTTTATATGCAGGTTTCCTTTCACCATGGCACGGATTGATCAACTTTTGGAATAGGCCTCGGGTACTGGACTTTTTAGCGGGCCTGTTTTACATTTTTGACCATTTTGAAGACAATATTCAACCGATTTAACCGATGAAATTTCACATATGAGGGGCTCAGAAGCAGAGTGGCATATGCCACATTCACAATATTTTGCAAAAAATGTAATTGAAAAAAACGAAATTTTAAAGAGCCAGTAAAATCAGTATTACAGCTGTATCGATTTAAAACTATATATTATTATTC